AATATATATATATATATATATATATATATATATATATATATATATTATCATGCCCCTATCAGAATATGACTCGGAGAAGGAAGCCAAACAGCTGACAGGGAGTGAGAGTGTGGCTCTGTTGGCTGTGGAAGAAACTGGGGAAGGGCAAAGTCTGGCTGGGCAGAGCAGGGAAAAGGTAGAACAAGGGAGAGAGAATTCAGAGGAAGACCCAGGCCCATCCCCTCTTCATCCTAGGACAGGCAGGGAGGAATGGAGAAGAGAGCAAGAGTGGGTTGCATGGCTTACAGGGGAGGAAAGGGCCCTGATTCCCTTCATTAGCTGCAGCTGGGAACACAGTGTATAAAAAAGGCAAGCTACGTGCAGCAAGGTGTTGGGAGCAAACGTGCTTTTATCTTGTATCATTGTGGCTTATCTATGTTCCTGGCGTCTTCCCAACTGTATGAGTTTTGCCATGCTTTCAAGTTTGAAATTTCTGCTCCTCCCCTGTCAGATTAATTACTTCAGCTTGGTTTGTTTGGATTTTAAGTTATAGTTTGTGTGTACCTTGTTTTGGACTGAATTTTCTAGTCAGAGGCTGTTCCTGGGAGAGTTTTTCTCCAGCCAAAGGTAACCTGGACATTGGGGGCAAAATTGGAGATAATAAAGGGACTCTTATTGCTTATCTGACTATGTTGCCTTCGTGCCATGCCCCGGGTCATCACATATATGTAGTCCATGTATATGAGGACTATATGTGTGTGTGCAGGTGTGTGCAGGTGTGCACGTGCACACACACACACACACACACACACACACACACACAACATGTTCTTACCATTTTATATTTCTTATTAGGGTTTCCATGCAGTGAATGGCACAAAACATGCTCCTTGCAGAAATATTGCCCCAACTGACTTTCTGTCTTTCAGGAATCTTCAGTGAGGTTAATTACAATTCAGCACTGAGATGTATGTAGCCACACATGGAGGCAAGTTTTATGATTTACAAAGGAAGGAGAGAACTTGCTCTTGGTAATTATCTAGATAGCTTGAGGCTTCAAGAAGAAGTGTCCTCCTGGCTCCCTGACCAGGGTGATTGAGACCAATTAGGTCCTAAGCGATTGATAAAAAAAGGCAGAATTTTTTTTGTTCTCTGACCCCAGACCTTCAGTTCCTCCAACAATAACTATGGGAGGTGTTGTATATAAGACATTTGCATACTCGTAATACTACGTTCCGATTGGACAATCACTACCGCCTAGGGATTGGTGGTCAACAACATATTATGATTGACCGCCTAAACGGCGGGAGGTTTAAAATGATGCCATTGGTTGCGAGCCACGAGCAGTCGCTATAAAAGAGGCTGCCACGGCTCAAGTTTAGTTGAAGTTACTGACAGTGAAATAAAGAGCTGAACTCAACTCTGATCTCGAGTCTATCTTGTTCTGGCAATAGAACAGGAAGATCATCAGGACACAACACCAACTCACAGATATTTCAATCTGGTGATTCTGACACTTCTGCTCAAGTCCAATCAAAATGTTCGCTTGCAGGGTGGGAGACATAGAAGTGAAGGAGGCCCTGGCTTTTATTCTGTGAGAATCCAGGGTCAGGCTGTAGGAAAGCTCACTATAGATTTCATCTAGGTGGAAAAAGAAAAAAAGAGCTTCAAAACTTAGCCCATGGATTGCTGTTCTTAGAAGAATGTTTACTCTCAGCAGAGTGTAAAAGTTTCGTTCTGTCAGTGGAAGAATGGTGGTATTTCCCTTCCCTTTACTTGTCCTTGCCCCAAGTTTTTGATAAACGATGATGTCAAGTTTTCATCTGAATGTAATAATACCCTGGGGGTCCTTGGTGTTCTCTGAACTTGGTTGTTTTCTTGCAAATGTTTCATTACCCAATTAGGTAACATCATCAGTGCTAGAAAGGGAGTGGGGTTTCTTTCTATTTATATATCAGTGGCTTGCTCTGTCAGTGTTGGTGGGAGTGATCTTGGTAGTTCCTTAAGCTGTTGTTTACTGTTTGGTTGTCTGTCTGACTTGGTGGGTCCTGGATTGGGGTGTTCTTTACTGCTTGATTAATGGTCTGGTGCTAGTCTTGATGTTAATCTGCTTAACTGGGTGTTGATTGCTGGAGAAGTGGTATATTAGAGGCTTTAAAAAAAAAACTTTTGAGTTGTCTCTTTTGAATGATATGTAGATGTTGTTTGTGTCTATGTGCCTGTTGATGTTGATTTATCTCAGCGACGGGTTTCCAGGAACTCTCTAATGTTCTTTGGATTTGTCTAGGATGCTCACAGTTTCCCAGTTAAAACTATGGTGAAATCTGTCCCTATGCTGTGTAATTAAGGAGTTTTCATCATGTCTGCAAGAAGACAACTAACTTCAGAGACCACTAAGGACTCCAAGCTTAATCCTGAGCTACTATTATTCTCTTCTAATGTAATAATAATAATGAATAATCTGGGACACAAAAGCCATCTTCCAAATTTTCAGCAAAATACAATTGGTGACAGATTCCCTTACTTTTACCCAATATCTGATACAAGGGAGAGATGAGCCATGTTGTGAGCAAGGGAATTATTAAAATGTGGAAGTTAAATGAAGAGTTAAAATAAGTTATAATGGTAACTGATATCTGTCAGGCCAATGTTTCTCAATTTGACCACTTTAAAATGTATGGACTTCAACTCACAGAATTCCAAGCTGGCTGGGGAATTCTGAGAGCGGAAGTCCACACATCTTCAAATTGCTAGGGTTGAAAAACACTGTGTTAGATTCTTCAGTGCAGGAGGTGGTGTGTGGGAGGTTCCCTCAGTAAATATGGAGAAATATTAGAAAAGCCGAACCAACGACATGCTGTTGGGAGCAGGAGGCCAATAAGAAGGTTATATTACACACTTCTTTTGCATATTTAAATCAACACTGCAAGGGTTTGAAGGATGTGGATTGCTGTAGGACCCCAAAGGACTACACCGTTTCCCATCACCTAGGAAATCCTGAGTGACTTTCGAAATGGTAAAGCACACTTCTGCCATGCTGGTCACATTTTCCTGAGATGTTGGCCTCTGCCATTGGAAGACTGAGGTTGGGATGGAAGGTGGGTGGAACACGATGGAGACCTTCACTTGCAGAACAGGACGAGACCTGGAAGCAAGAAGAGAAGAGAAGATCATTTTCATTAAGATACTGTGTGATCAGGACTCAGCATCCAGCATGAGCCAGCATAAAGCATATAAGCCGATGTTTCGCAATCTGGGCAACTTTAAGACATCTAGATTTCAACTTCCAGAATCCCCCAGTCTGTCTGTTTTCTTTTCAGTCAGAGAATTCTGGGAGTTGAAGTCCAGAATTCTTAAAGTTACCAAGGTTGAGAAACACTGATCACAGCCACTGCCTTCCCAATCTCTGAGGAGAATTTTTTTACCACATAGTGAGTGGTGTCAACCTTACCATCTGGTGGTAAGGCGTCAACCTTACCATCCTTACTTCTTCCACTGGCCAAACCATGCTCCCTCCAGGGTTCAAAAACTGTCCTGAAGCCAATTCCCCCTCCTCCAGTTTCATTGTTGTCTTTTGGTTAGTGAGAAACAATAGACTTGTTAGTTTCAAAAGTAGAGGGCCTGGAGACCTCAACTTCTTCAAAAGAGGCCAAACCCACTGTTGTAGAGCGATGGAACAGATGAGGCTTAGACCAGAGCATACAAGTAACAGTCTTTATTCAGGGAATAAAGGGTTGTCGCATCTGCCAGCTAACAAGGCAGACTGCAAGCGAACAACGGCTGGCTCTGCTCGACAGCCGGCTTTTATAGCCGACTGTCAAACGGAGCCAACCAATGGGAGCTGCTGGTGCTCCCGCTCAAACAGCGGACCTGGTTGGGGACTCCAACCAGTCCTAAAGACATAACACCCACAGAACCAGAAGACAGGATAACAGCCAATGGGAATCTGCCTAACTTGTAGACCCCCTATTTTTATGATAACATTTTCTCCAAGATGGCAGCTCAGCATTACATTCACCAACCCAGCAGATTCAAATCCAGGAACAGGAGGAACTGGAGGAATCCTGAGTCTCTATGTTTAGAAGATAAGAAACGTAAACATTAAACAAATATATAAATATAATCATGCCTTAATGTAAACATCTCTATTTACTGAGGGTATGGGCCTGATTATGCCTGTTTAAGAATGCAGAAGAACTGGGAGAAAATGGGGCTGTTATCCTCCTCACCTCAACAACAAAACTCTTCCTTGTTGTCCCACAATGATGTCCTTCAAACCATCCCCTGTAAGATCTCTTCCTCCACTGATGGCTTGGCCAAAATAAGAAAACCTTCCAGAAAACTTCAGTCCCTGAATGCGCTGTGGAAAGAGAAAAGGAAGGTAAGCAAGGAAAAAAATGAGGGTCGCAAATGGGATTTGTGGTATGTGACATATATGACACTGGGATGTTGCCCAGGTCATAAATGCCAGTTGCCAGTTGCCCAGATTGTGACCACATGATCACGGGAATGCTGTGTCAGTCGTAAGTGCCAAGGCAGCCCATAATTTTTTCAGGGCAATCATAACTTCAAATACAACAGTGTTAAGCATATTTGCCAGCTTGAATGTGTGTGTGTGTGTGTGTGTGTGTGTGTGTGTGTGTGTGTGTGTGTTTGTGTGTGTGGAGAGAGAGAAAGAGAGAAAGACAGAGAGGACAAGTAAATAGAGATGAAAGATAATAAACAATAGAGGGAAAGATGATTGATAGACAATAGATGATAGATATTAGATAGATAGATAGATAGATAGATAGATAGATAGATAGATAGATAGATAGATAGACAGACAGACAGATATGAAAGATAATAGATAATAGGGGAGATATGATTGATAGTAATAGATATTAGATAGATAATAGATATATATTATTAGATACATATTAGATAGATAGACAGACAGACAGACAGATAATCAATATCATAAAATATTCATTTTTAGATATTCTTCATCCATTCATGGTTGTTCAATATAGAACCTTGATGTGTTATTATTAACCCTACACAGTAACAATGTGCTGATGCCAAAAGATACAGCTGGTGTATCCTCCTTCCAGTTGCCTTCTGTGATAATGTCTGAAAGGCAAATCATGTGGGAATGGGGGTGGATGAATGACTCATTGTAGGTACTCAGAGCTCCCCCCACACATATACAGAGTAGACTGGTACAGAGTAGAGTTCTTCCCAGTAACTCAAGAGAAAACACCCTGGAGCATTCACAGCACCTGAGCATCACCCTACTACCCTGGTGTTCATGCTTTTGTTTTTTAATGACAACACAAAAAAGTCTGTGTAATGTGTAAGGATGTAGTTTTGAGACTCTGCAAAGAGGAAGGGGACAGAAGACGGCGATTGTTGAGAACAGTGCAAAGGTACTCCTAGGTGTCTTTCTTCAGGGCAACGCCAAGTCTTGCTTCCAGAGAAAAAAGAGGGCCTTTTGCTCAAGCAAGGCCTGAGGGTCAGCTCACCTGAACATATCTGCGATTGATGGATGCCCTTTTCCCTGAAAAGATATACACGGCTCCTGCATTCTCATCTTCCAAGGGGGCCCCAATGGCTACATCTGTCCATTTATCCCCAGTGATGTCACCCACTTCTGCAATGCTGGCCCCAAAGCGACCAAACAAATGCCCTGGCTCTCCTTTCAAAGCTCTGTGGCTGTTTGTACAAGAAAATGCTTCATTCTGCAAAATGTAAGAAAAATACACTGAAATGCAAATGAATTTCTCAGAAGGCTGCCCCCACAATATGGTCTTTACAAATTTCTTAAAAAATTTACACCTACTACTTCAGTACTAGTCTAGCTAGTCTAGTGAAGAGAAGGACCAGGAGAGACATGATAGCAGTCTTCCAATATTTGAGGGGCTGCCACAGAAAGGAAGGGGTCAAGCTATTTTCTAAAGCGCCTGTAAGCCAGACAAGGAATAATGGATGGAAACTGAACAAGGAGAGATTTAACCTGGAAATAAGAAGAAACTTTCTGACAGTAAGAACAATCAACCAATGGAACAGCTTTCCCTCAGAAGTTGTGGGAGTGCCATCCCTTGAGACCTTCAAGAAGACATTGGACTGCCATTTGTCAGAAATAGTATAGGGTCTCCCGCTTGGGCAGAGGGTTGGACTAGATGACCTATAAGGTCCCTTCCAACTTTGATTATCTGTTAATCTATTAGTACGTTTTATTAAACACCTGTAAACATATCTACTTTAGGATACAATTTTATTCCATTGTGGACTGCCATAATTCCCCAAGGAATTCTGGGACTTGTTTATTTATTTGATTTATTTGATTTGTCAATCGCTTACAAGATAATAGGTATAAGTATAAACATGGGTAAGAATACAGAAAATAGGTGCGAATAAATGGGGACAATAGGACAGGGAAGGTAGGCACGATGGTGCGCTTATGCACTCCCCTTTCAGACCTCTTAGGAATGGGTGAGGTCAATAATGGATAGTTTGTGGTTAAAGGAGTTGGGGTTTGAGGATGTAACAACAGAGTCAGGTAGTGCATTCCAGGCATTGACCACTCTGTTGCTGAAGTCGTACTTTCTGGAATCAAGTTTGGAGTGGTTTACATTGAATTAGTATCTGTTGTGTGCTTTTGTATTGTTGCGGTTGAAGCTGAAGTAGTCATTGACTGTAGTTTAGTGAAGGTTCTCAACACTTAGCCTTTCCTTTTATTGCATAAATCATCATTTCTAGAGTTTCCCAGAAAGAATAAATATGGTTCCCAACCCATTGGGGGTTTATTGCATAAATGGATCCTCAGTGTTTCACATCTCCTGCCACATATACAGGTTTTTTCTCTCTCCCTCCCTCTCTCTCTCCCTCCCTCCTTCCCTCTTTCTCTCTCTTTCAAGATAGAGCCTGTGTTTAAAACAGAATTTTCCTCAGATGCAACAAATGGAAGATTCCATTGCCAAATAAAGATGCTTATGTCAAGTGTCACACTCATTTCAAATATTTGTTTGCCATATTGGAGCTCAGCCTAAAAAAAATATCAAGAAATATTAAGTAGTCCTCGACTTACAATGGTAAAGGAGCCTTCCCATTATCAGTCATAAGTTGTGAGAATTGAAAATTAGGTTATCCATGTCACTGGCCTGATTTTATGGCTTTTTTTGTGCAATGGTTGTTAAGCAAACACCATGATTGTAAAGCAACTGCCACAGATGTCAAGCAAACCAATTAATCACCATGGGACAGTTTTGCCAAAAATCAGAAGAAAATGCCAGTTCTCAGCAAAAGTGTAATAAAATAGGGTCATGTGACCAAAAGATGCTCCAAAGAGCTGTGAATGCAGGCTGGTTGCTGGTTGCTGGTTGCCCAAATGCAGACCAGAACTTCAATACCAGGCCACAAACAACCTGAGGAGGTCCATTGTAACTTCAGATGGTCACTAGGCGACCAGTTGTAAATTGAGGACTACCTGTGATAAAAGCAAAAGTTTCTCTTCCACCTTTTACAATGTACACCTGGGTATTTTGAGCAGATGTTGGAAATCATAGAAATTCTAGAGCTGCCCATCTTCAACCATCATTTATTCTGTGGTTCATAGATCAAGAAGTCTCTTACCTTAAAAAGACAGATGTGAACCCTTCCTCCTGCAGTGGCATCGTAGTACATGGGAGCTCCAACCAGAACTAAATCTGTGTTTGTGTCTTGATTGAGGTCCACCGAGCACAGAGTTGCTCCAAAGTAAGAACCAACCTGTTGCATCGAATAATCACTTCTTAATTTCATTCGACTTAAAAAATAATAATGGAGCAAGGCCAAGCATCATTTGCATGTTTCATGTTCTAATTGCAGAAGCAGAGATGTTACTGCTGGGTGCAAGAAGTATGTTTTTGAAGTATCAGTCTTTAAGTCTGCAACCTTAGGTTTTGAGGCATGCAGGCAATAAAGGAAAAAGGTACATTTTCAGATGCTTAGTGTCCTTCTACTTGGTAGTCGTAAGTCGAGGGCTACCTATATGTGACCTTGAATCTTTGCTCAATAGCCTTCATGCCTTCAATCCTCTGACAGCCAAACCAGATGCGGGAGAGGCGTGGGAGTCAATATCAGTATCAAGGCATTCTGAGAGCTACGAGGGGAAGAGAGAATGGACCTGACAGAGATAGAGACAGAGGCGGAGCCTGGGCTGTCCATTGGCCCTCAGATGGAGAGTCAACATCCCCCAGGACTGGAGGCGCCAGATGAGGAAGAGGAGGAACAGTTGGATCCAGTGCCTGATGAATGGATGCGCAGAAGGCAGAGAAGAGGAGAGCAGTGGAAAAATATGGACTGGTCCTTGGGACGGAAGAGCCACTGCTGCCAGTGAAACCCCACCTTAGCTCTGGAGTTAAAAGGCAGAGGGCGGAGATGAATAGGTGTGGCAGACAACTATTCATCTCTCTACGGACAGACTTGTTAGCCTGCTGTGTGTGTGAGAGAGAGACTTTATGCCGGGAGCTGCTGGAGCTCCTAATAAAGGAAACATTTAGTTAACTACAGAGGGTTTGTTGTGTTTGGGAACCAGCTCAGAGCAGTAATGTTTTGGGTGGAACCTGATCACATCCTCCTCCAGAGGTTTTATCTATGTTCTCTTCAATTCTTTCAGAGTTCTTTTATCTCCGTTCATACCTGTTCCCCTACTGCCTCCATCTTTAGCCGCCATTCCCGACTCAGGGCTTCATTCTCAAAGTAGACAACTTTGCCAATGTGATCATAGCGGGGAGCTCCTACAACCAGGCCATTCCTCCCATGGAACTGGACAGGCTGAGAAGAATAGCCTAAAGGGGAGGCAAAACAGCTAAAACCTATGATAACTTTGTCATCACTTTGACATGTACACTAATCGGCATACATTAAAATGAAATTTGGCTGTATACAGCTCTCAAAGGGTCATCACCTCTAGTATATACTACATAAACATGACAAAATAAATAAATAAATACAAAATTATGCATACACCCACATGTATTATATGACATAGAGAAACAATACAATCCAGTTTGGATGTATACATGTACATCCATAACTCACATGATCATAGAGGATCCTTTAAATTTACAATCAAGCTTGGGATAGATTCATTTGTAAGATAATGATCTAAAAATGCAGATAAGGTAGCCCTTGGTTTACAACCATTTGTTTAGTGACCATTTGAAGTTACGACATCATCAAAAAAAGTGGTTTATGGCCGTTTCTCACACTTGCAGCATCCCCATGGCTACATGATCAAAACTTGGATGCTTGGCAACTGGCATGTATCTACAACCTGCCGGGATCATATAATCTCCACTGGTAACCTTCCCTGGTGGCTTCCAACAAGCAAACTCAAGTGGGGGAAACCAGATTCACTGAGCAACCACATGAGTCAGTTAACCACTGCAGTCATTAAATGAACAACTGTGGCAAAAAGTTGTGTGCAACTCTCTTAACAACCACCTTGCCTAGCAACAGATATTCTGATCCCCATTTTGGCCGTAAATCGAAGATTACCTGTAGTGAATTTGCTTCCGGCCACTGAACTAAATGGAAAACCATCAAATTGGCTAGAAGAAAGCCTTGTACTGTATAGCCCAAAATAACAAAGAATCTAATTATAATAATTTCAGTAGAATGCTGTGTTGGAAAGAGAGGTAGAACATAATGGAGGGTGTGAATTTTGGGTTTTATTTTCTTACCGAGATAGGAATTATTCATATATTTGAGGATGCTGGAGATATTAATAAATTCTGGGTCTTGGTGGCCGGTTTGATATAGAAGTAATCCTCCAGACCAATCATAGGCTCCCACAGCTCCAATGACAAGGCCTTGCTAAATCACAGAAAAAAGTTAGAATAGGACTATAGGATCATCTGGGAAGAAAAATAATGTTGGACCTGCCACAACTTGAACTTTTAAATAAAAACGATCTTTGGCTCCATTTGTTGAGAAAGGTAGAGTAGAAAAAACAATTACGACCAACCTGTCTTCCACTGAGGACCTGTATCCTGCACGAGTCAAAAAGAGGGCTGTGAACATATTTACAGATTCCCTCACATCCCTGACAACTCCTACCCTCAAAACGAAGCTATAGAGCACTGCACACCAAATAGACACAAGGACAGTTTTTTCCCAAATGCCATCACTCTGCTAAACAAATAATTTCCTCAACACTGTCCAACTATTTACTAAGTCTGCATTACTATTACTATTAATCCTCACATCCTTCCTTTCACCCATCTCCCACTTATGACTATATGACTGTAACCTTGCTGCTTCTATCAGTGGTGGGATTCACATTTTTTTTACTACCGGTTCTATAGGCGTGGCTTGGTAGGCGTGGCAGGGGAAGGATACTGTAAAATCTCCAGTCAGAGGCGGTATTTGCCAGTTCTCCGAACTACTCAAAATTTCCGCTATCAATTCTCCAGAACTGGTCAGAACCTGCTGAATACCACCTCTGGCTTGTAGCCTAACGATTTTTACTGACTGTCTCCTAATATGATTTGATTGCTTATTGTACCCTATGACTATTATTAAGTGTTGTACCTTATGATTCTTGACTTGTATCTTTTCTTTTATGTACAGTGAGAGCATTTGCACCAAGACAAATTCCTTGTGTGTCCAATCACATTTGGCCAATAAAGAATTCTATTCTATTCTGTTAGAGATCAAGTATATTGCAGTAATGTGAAGCCAGAACTAGAAACTGTGTGCCCTAAATCCCTAAGATTTCTGTGGGGTTCTTGGAGAAGACAGATTTGTTCTTGAGGGTAAGAGAGAGAAAAGACAGGAAGGGGAAAGTGGGGAGGGCCATTCATTACCCACCACTAAGAGTCTACTAAGAGATTGTCTCCAAGAATGCAGTGGGGGAAGTTCATCGGAGGGAGCTCCAACCTGGAAATAAGGAGGAATTTCCTGACTGTGAGAATAATTAATCAGTAGAACACCTTGCTTCCTGGAGTTGTGAGTGCTCCATCGCTGGAGGTTTCCAAGAAAAAAATTGGACAACCGTTTGTTGGGGGTGGTATAAAGACTTTGGGAAGGCGGCTGGACTAAAAGACCTCCAAGGTCCCTTCTAGGCCTATGATTCTATGATCCACGCTGGGCTCAAGAACACTCACCGGGATCAGGAGGGCACTCAAACCTTCCTGGGACATTTCCATCTGGAAGGAACTGCTATTCCGGAACTGGGTGCCTATGGGGAGACACAAGGACAGCAGGAAAACAGGATAGAATGCCCTCAGTAAGGATATAGTAAAATTGCATGTTCTTGCTTTAGCCTGGAAAACCAACAAATGGGCAATTGAACAGATCAATGCAGAGTTTTCAATCTAGGCACAAATAGCTGGTTTCAAATCGGAAGCTTGTTCAGACACAAAACCGTAAGAAATAGATCAGCTCTATTGCAAGTGAATCATTCTGCTTTTCTCAAAGTTACACCTTTGCCTTCATCCTTGTTTCAGAAAAAAAAATTGTATATGAACTTGCCTCGGGAAGAATGTTAGGCAATAGCCAAAAAGATGCACCTGGGATTGCATCCTTAAAAAGGCCCAAAGTTACCTTCAATTGCAAAGATTTTGTTCTGTAACTGCTCCTGGATAGTTTTCAAAGCATTAAAATTATTGACTTTGAAAACATGCTCATCGTCTGGCTCAGAAGCGATGTCTTTCAGTTCCTGTTGGACTCCGATGGTTGAAAATGCAGAGCCAACCTTAACGTGGGAAAAGAAGGAAGGACATTTCAGACACAATTGTTGCAGTTGATAACCATATGATGCGGCAGAGATGTGTACCATACTCATTCTGGCATTGAGTCCAGGATTTGGATAATTCCTAAATCTAATGGATTGCATATACTGTGGTAATCTAAATTGCAAGGAGTTGTGGGTTCCATTTTGGGTAGGTTTGAACCCCAAAGAATGACATCTGGCCAGCTGCGTGTGACTGTTTCCAATAAGGATGATGCTGGCAACGTGATGCCTTTTGGTGGTCAATGTAACTGAGATACAAGACTAATCATATTTGGTCACTGAGGCTCCTAAGAAGATTCTCACCCCGATGGCATAACGGATGATCCCAGCTTGTTCAGCCTCTGGTATCACTTCCCAATACTCAGCATCATCATTCAGCTTGCTTCCATCAGTTATCACAATAAGGATCTTTGTAGCACTATTCCGAGATCCTTTTTCTGCAATAAACAGTTCCCTCCTTGAGAAGAAAAGGGAAGGAAGAATAAACATTGATTCAGCTACTTAATATTTTTCCAAGGGTGAGGAAAAGGAAAGAGGGAGGAGGAAGAGGAAGAGGAAGAGGAAGAGGAAGAGGAAGAGGAAGAGGAAGAGGAAGAGGAAGAAGAAGAAGAAGAAGAAGAAGAAGAAGAAGAAGAAGAAGAAGA